CCACAGACCTTACGTTGCATTGACTTAATCCTTTATCCGGGACTGACCGCCCGGCAGATCCTCTCTTCACCATTCTCCCCGACTCTCTCCCCCCTATTCTTACAGCTGCTAAGGCCTCTCTTGCAGTTGTAAATTCACGGGTTTAGGGTACGTTTGCTGCCCGGACCCCTGGTGGTCTCGTCCCTCCGCATTAGCCTTGGTCTCAGCGATCCCCTGTTGTTCGACATCTTTCCAGCTTTTGTCGGCCTGGCTCTACCCTCTACCGCCGGTACCCTCGCCACCAGCGTGAAGATGGTCATGCGGACGAGGGCCAACACCATCCGAAGGTCGGTCGACGAGAGATGCGATAGCAGCAGGGGAATGACTGCTAATGGCTGTTATGCACCGGATCTTTCTCTGCTGCATTCTCAGGAGTTCTGGAGTTCGTCCCGGTTTTCGTTTGGTCGCGTGCATCTGGAGGCCGCGCAGCACCCCCCCATCCCCCCCGCCACGCCGCACACCCTAGATCTCATGCCACAGGTGGATGACGAATCGCACAAAAAGAGGGAAGAGGGTTTGAATGTGCTCCTTCAGGCTCACCAGCCCGGCTCGTGAGCACTCCTGCTCCCCCGCCGCTCAAGGCGACGTCTTCCAGCAGACTACCCGCACACACAAACGTGGTCCGACTGACAGATACACCAACATCACATGTGTGTGTGCGTTGGACTGCCTGGCATGGGTGTGTGGTGTGTGGTTTTGGTGCAGAGGACCCTGTATGGGCAGGCTGGGGCGGCAGAGGGCGACGGTGGCGGCAGGGGGTTCGGCGGCGACACAGCTAAGCAGCCCGGTCGTCCCTTCTTCCCCAAGCTCACGTCGGGCCCATCCATCATTCCTCCCCCCGCCAATCGCACAGGGCTACCACGCAACACAACACGGCTGCACGGCGCATCCGACCACGACCACCCGAAAGCGGTCAGGCAAAGAGATTGCCAATGTGTGTGCTGTGATTACGTTGGGGGTCCTGTGTGTGGTGTGGTTTGCCGTCAGGCGTGCGGTCGTGCGGTCGTGCGGTGCGGGAGAGGGATGGGCGTCGGGAAGGGCGTGTTGGTGCGGCCGACGGGCGGGAGATGCGTCGCGGGACGGAGCTACATGATGTGTATGGCGAGATGCTCCGTAGATCTTCGCGGTTGACGGTGAGCCCCCACCCATACGAACACGCGCAATTGCATAATGTCAAGTGCGTCTGTGTTGTGGGTGTTCTTCCTTCAGGATAGTTTCACTGCCGGACAGCCCCATGAAGCCCCACCACACAGCAAAGCCCATTGTCAGGCCCATACCTTCACACACGCACACAGACACACGCACATTTTGTCCGGATGATCTTGTGTATGTGCATTTGTGTGTGTGTGTGTGTGCGTGTGTGTGGTTTTCAGGTTTCCCACGACGCGCCTTGTGCACCGAGTCTGCCCTACACACACCAGCCACCCGCCAAGCGGAGCATGAGGGCCAACAACAATGGCGGAATGGGCGCAGACCACGATGTCGTTGTTGTTGTTCCTCATGCTCTGCTTAGCGGGCGCTGGTGTCCTCCGTGAACAGGTCAGAGAACACTCACGTCCGGGCGTGTGAGCGGAGCGAGGCCGCCGGTGCCGTATAGCATGGTGAGCCCATCACGTCAGAGGGCAACAAACAGGGAGAGAGGTGACAATGTGCACTTGTCGCTTCCATTTCAGTCAAAGTACTAATGCGGTGAGTGTGCGAAGGTTTTGTTACTGCTGTAGTTGTGACTGAGGGCAGATGTGCGCCGTCGTCCATGAGTCACAACTACAGCAGTAACGAACCATCCGCACTCATTTCATTTCTGGATGATCTTATGTGTGTGTGTATGGGTCTGACCATGGCCTTTGCTGTGTTCGAGCGAGTGTCGTGGGCTAGTTGGCCACAGCTGCATTATCGCAGCCTCTGAGTGGACACAGGCTGTCACACAGCTGTCTCTTTGTCACGGCGTGTTTTTTGGACTGCTTTTTTTTGGTGTTGTATTTGTTGTGTGCGGGTGGGCAAGAGGGGCCGGACTGAATCCCAGCATTTTCTAAATGAGCGCATTAACCAGACGACCAAAAATCCTTCGTCATTGGATGGGCAGCCTTAAGTGTGCGCGACGAGTGCGCGCCCCACAGCTCGGCAGATGGTGTTGGTCTCACATACATTTGGCGTTCATCATTCAGTCTCCATCCCATACAACACCCAACGCACACACGTGTACACACACACACACTGCCTCACGCCGGTCCCCCATATCCATCACTCCTTCACCCGCTGCTATGCCTCTGCACCACTCCCTGACCATCGGTCTTATCCATGACAACGCACGTGTCTCGCTTGTGCGTCACGGTGTGTGTAGCCGTCCCGTCGGCGTTCTTGTCTCTCTGTGCACGACTGGATTGACGCTGGCGGACCGAAACATTTATCAGTGCACAGCCTCTGTGCAGTGCGTGAGTGATAAACGTCGAATTACTATCAAAGTCCGCCTCTTTGCAGGGCAACGAACAGATCAAGGCTTTTGGTGTGGGTGCATGTCACTGAGGATCGCTTGATGGAGAGGGCGAAAGGAAACGGTCCATCGGGTGCATAGACAGCCTCCGAATATAAAATGTAGCCAGCGATATGTCCAGCGGATTGCACGTGTCTCTGAAGCTCTGCATTTGTCGACCCACCTGCAGCTTACGGCCCACTCCTCAGCTGCCGACACAGCAGATGGACAGAAGGCACAGGTGATGACAGACAGCAGGCAAGGAAGCTTCCCTCTCTCCCCGCCCTCCTTCCCTTTTGTGTTACCAGGCAGCAGCGGCGTCAGCAGCACCTCCCTGGGCGTCCCGGTGCTGCTGATGTAATGCAGGGGCAGCTGCTCGTCTGTGTAGGCCGCCAGCATGACGACGCATCATATCCGCGTGTGCTTTGAATTGCGACTCGTCTCTGTCCCCGCGTGCGCCCTGACCTCATCCGCAGATCGTCGGTAGAATAATCAAGGGACTCGACAAATATAAAATGTAGTCAGCGATCGGCACGCTGAAAAGACAAGACAACACCAGCAACCGAGGTGTGTCCGCTTGCGCGTCTCTAGGAGCGTCCCACTTACCCTCTCCCGCTCCGCCACGTCAGCCATCACGACGCATGAGATGCCGCCTCCTCGGATGACTTTCTCCATCATTGCACCAAACCCATACACCGACGTCGGCTGCCCAAGCCATGTCGCCCGCCTGTCTCCCTCTCCCACCACAACACCGTCACGCCGTATCTGCCGTGTCAGCCTCTCCATCCCCCTGTGGATGCGCTGCGAGAGGGGTGACATGTCGCGGCTGGTTGCGGTCGGCTCCACAGTGTCGCCCAGCAGCGCGGCCTGAAACTCCGGCGCCCTTAGCCAGGTCGATGAGCCGGTCAAAATCGGCAAACCAATACGACTCTGAAACCAAGCAGACGAAATCGCAACATCGATGTAGACACGTGTGGTATGTCACCTACCATTGCACCAGCTGGAGGCAAGGAAGGGCGACGAAAGAGGATTGCACAGACTCAACAAATATAAAATGTAGTCAGCGATATACAGGCTGAGAACACAACACAACACCAGCAACCAGTTACCTTTCTTTGTGTCTCTCTGTGTCTCCATATGCGTGTTCATACCGATTGTCTGCCGTGACGGAGAACATAAGGCGATGAGAAGATCGGCCCGGATCCCTGCAGCCCCGCACGGAGCCACTCGAATCCCTCGAACAGGCGCTGACACAACAACAACACACAAGGAACGACAGCAGTCAGCCCACACCGTCTTGTCTGCACGTCCCCCCCTCTCTGCCTACAGAAGTGATCGCTGTCGTCCTCTTCATCTCTCCGCATCGCCCTAGCCCCTCCGCACATCGTCGGTAGAAAAATACAGGGACTCGACCAATATAAAATGTAGGCAGCGATGCATCGGCTGAAGACACAAAGGAAAACTCCAGCTGTCAATTTAATGACCTCTCTTTGTGCCTCTCTGTGTCGCTCTACTTATTTGGTCTCCTGGACGGTGCCCCTGTCTCCCCCGCCTCTCCCCCCCGCCGCTCTCCCCGCCTCGTCATATGCTGACGCCCCCTTCGGCTGAAAAACGCCCTGCAGCCAGCCAGCCAGCCACAGGCACTTGAGACATGATACGTGCGTACGGACGCTGTGTCCTACCCCCTTCATCAGGATGGTTTGTGGCTGGTGTGAGCGAGGGAGGGCTGGTGTGGGGGGGCTGGCGTGGCACTTCTGTGTCGCTGCTGTAGTTGTGACTGAGGGTAGAAGTGCGCCGTGGTCCATTAGCCTGGCGAGAGAGGAGGGAAGCCACAACCAGTGTTTGCCAGTGGGCGTGGCGGTGGGTGGAAGTGTCTGCTGCACTAACCTGAGGTCTGCCGTAACTGCTCGAGGCATCCGTGTTACCTCCAGCCGGCAAAGGACTCTGAAGAAGAGACACACAGCACCACACTGCAGTTGACAAGGCACAGTGCGTCTGTGTGTGTGTGGGCGTGTGTGTATGTGTGGCTTTGGTCTCATTTACCTGAAACTCAGAAGGTGTGGTGCTACCATAGCCCCCTATGACGTGCCCCCCATAGCGCCCCATCTGCCCTCTGCCCAGGGGAGCGCCCTCCCCGTCCACACGTGTCCTGCCGTGCAGTGGTAGGTCTCGTCCCTCCGCATGAGCACCTCGTGACTGAAATGGAAGCGACAAGTGCACATTGTCACCTCCCTCCCTGTTTGTTGCCCTCTGACGTGATGGGCTCACCTTGCTGTACGGCACCGGCGGCCTCGCTCCGCTCACACGCCCGGACATCTGAGACGAGAAGACACACAGGTCAGATGTGCCGCCATGTGTGGGCGTGAGTGTTCCTGACCTGTTCACGCAGCTCGCCGTGGTCTGCGCCCCTCCCGCCGTTGTTGTTGGTCCTCATGCTCTGCTTAGCGGGCGGCTGGTAGTCGTGACTGGGTGAAGAAGTGCGGGGTGGTCCGTCAGCCTGGCGAGAGAGGAGGGAAGCCACAACCAGTGTTTGCCAGTGGGCGCGGCGGTGGGTGGAAGTGTCTGCTGCACTAACCTGAGGTCTGCCGTAACTGCTCGAGGCATCCGTGTTACCTCCAGCCGGCAAAGGACTCTGAAGAAAAGACACACAGCACCACACTGCAGTTGACAGGGCACAGTGCGTCTGTGCGTGTGAAGGTATGGGTGGGGCATCGTGAAGGGTGAAGATCTCCTGGGTCTCTCGTCTCGCGGCCCGGTGGCTTGTAGCCAGTGCCTCGGCCCCCCCACC